CCGAAAATCAAGCGGGATTCGCACAGAGTTCTGGGTAAATCAAGTGCTCATACTCATTTTCAGCCCATCAGGCGTGCCGTAACAGCGCGTATTTCCTGATCCCCTCTAAAATTTTTGTTTCTCATTTTAAGGTAAGAAATCGAAATTTGAAACGGACAGGGTGTCGATTTATTAGGTGCCATGTTTCACAACTTGTTTATTTATATACGTATAGCGGATGATTTTTTTTTTAAATTAGTATTTATTGATTTTCAGCCCCCAAGTGACTGTGATTGCGGGCGCCGTAATGGCTACTTGCGCGCGCACACACTAAGAATGGTCAACATTTACCCCCCCCCCCCCCACACATCTAAACCATCGGGAGCACAGGAACTATGATCAACTGTACGCACTTTCTATGCGCGGGGGTCGGTATCGGCTGGCATCCAGTGTAAGACATAGACGAGGGATGAAGGCTCCGCGAGCTCATATTTTTTAAACTGGAAAAACAGACTAACAGAATGAAAAATAAAATCTATAAAAAATACCAGGTTGAAGAATATTAGTTGCTCTTTCAAATTTCGCCAAAGCCTTGCCTATATTTTACCTATATCTGCAGAATAAATCAAAACTACACAAATTGACTCCATTTATGAACAATTAACGGTTGGCAAAATTTAGGCAAGAAAGTCTGGTTGTGAAAAAAAAAGCAGACATACCGGGTAAGCGGTTTGAATGAGAACCGGGCACATCGGTGTCTGACTGGCGAGCAATTAAGTGATTCATATGGGATTACTTCAACTTTGTATTCAGTTTTTTTTTTCTCCCGGTGGTTCTCCAATGAAAATGTTACTACGTTCGCAACACCGTGTTGAGGCGACGTGATTTACGTCACTGGCTAGCAAACTCTCAGTCCGACACTTGGTGGCGCTATTGTGAAAATGCATTTTGGTTTCGCGTGTAACCATACAATGATATTGTTCACGGTGCTACAACACTGGAGCAAGAAAGCACGATCATTAATTAGAATTTTAGATTAGAATAATTGAGCATTTTTGTAATCTTCAATTGTGGATACACTGAAAAATTATAATTCTTTAATTATTCTTATTGTAGACATCAATCATCAGAGTGGATTTTCCAACCAAACCAAAAATGCAACAGTAACTTGTACGACGTAATGCATTCATTATATAAATTAAATGTTATTTAGTAAAGACTTGTATTGTATAAAGCCCTGAAATTTAAAGTTTGACACGTTTCTTTTAACTCGTATTTTGCATTGAAATATATCGAACGGAGACAATAGACCACTTACCCGGAATATACGGCGCATACATGACTAACATCTTCGTATTTACATTATTAAAAAAATGGCGGGCATCGTGTTTGCACCACAGTCTCGCTACTTCCCGTAACGTGGTCTATTCATTTCTAAGACGTCTGAATAAGTTCCGACATTTTTGTCACACGTGCCATTAACCCGTGTTGCTTACAACCCATGTTTTTACCACATATGCTTTCTGATTCATTGGTACATGACTTGCTGAACACCTCCAAATGTATAAACATTCATTTAATTTCTGTATTTATACAGATAATCACCGATTAGTACCTGTTGGTCCTTGCAAATATCCGGCCATTATTTTGTTTCGCCGCGAGTGGCGCCTTTCACATGCCGTTTATATCTTCAATAAATTCTCATTCTCATGAAATCCTGCAGAACATAAGTATATATTATGTTATCTCAAGTTCAATAATTTTGACACTATCTATACGGGAATCTCTTATGTTATCATAACACCACATACGCACAGTTGGTTCACATCATGAGGTATCCTCGGGGTGGAGCTACGTCACAGACGTTCCACGTTGCTAAGACGCGCACCACTGTACATGCATTTCTATGGGCTCTGTGCGCGCTGCTGTGGAACACTGGTCGAGCCGGTGAAAATTCGAGAAAACACAAACTCAACTTTGAAGTAATCCCGAACAATCAAATTTATATATGTTACACACGTAGGGCTAATCTTGTTGCACTGTTCAGAGGACTCAACAATCACCCCAAAGTACAGTACCGTTTTCTGCGAGTTTTGGGCCTTTGTTTTCACCGCCGCGGGTTGCCAGGCGATGAAAATGCCCGGATGTCCGCCCCGAGGATTGCTGCAGTATTGTTTAAAATCAACAACTTGCATGTCTAGGCATAGACCTTAAAAATACATTATTTTTTAAGGTTTAGGGTAGACATTATAAACATATATTAAGATTGTTTACTAACTGTGGCAACTACGCAATGTTTGACCGTGGGGCACATCCATGGCATTCGCGTGATCGTGCAGCGAGAGTTATATGGTAGAGTTTGTAAGATTTTGTGAGAGGAGGAGAGAAGTGGACAGCGAGGCGTGACCCCAGCTGACGGTTTGGATGAATAAAGCTGGACTATCTGTAATGAACTAACTTATGTGTATTTCTTTGGGGTACGACTCGGAAACTGGGCTCTTCATGTGTAAGTCATCTGCACGCTCGCCTGAGTCCCCTCACCTCGACGCTCCTTTCACAAAGCATGGATCGGTGATAATCACAAAGAATGTGACCAGTGTTAAATGAATATTTCCTATATACAAAATAAATGTTTAGGATATACGAACTCAAATCCTGTTCATTAATTACGCCCTCTCGTGGCGATAGGGTTGGGTCATGGATCATTACGCCACGTACACGTCAGAACAGAATGTTTGATTTTGAGCCACAGACCAAAATCAGCAGACCATTGCAAGTTTCATGCTCACGTGATATTTTTGTCAGAGTACTTAGTATGTAACCAAAGCCGCCATTTTGTAATGTTAGTGTGCTGTCGTAGTTTATTTAACACCAACATCGTGAATATCGATCGTACAAAGCAATGGCTAAAATATCTCAATATATGATTGTTTTATTGCATCCATGTTTTGTTCAACAACATGACACGATTGTGTTGATTATACGTAAATCATAAAATGTTGCTAATCTAATAATTATAATCTCCCGTAATTAAAGCGGGGCGTCAGATGGCCATAGCGTGTTATTGTTTACAAATAAGCGTCTACCCATGAGCCTTTGCGTTTTTAGCGTGTGTTATCGTCGCCTGGGACTCAATTTCCGCGCGTGCGCAGGTGACGACCCTCCCGCTTTAACGTGCTGGCGTTATTGTTGAAGTATTGCGCGTGATTGCCTTTACACATTGAGATACAAACACTCTACCATACAAATCTAGTGACCTCGTGCTATGTATTGCTATTGAAACATCGTACAAGAAAAAGTGACGAAATCCAATCAGGACTCTGTAATTGTGTCAGGTTTTGGAACAAAATCATAGAAAAAATATAGACAAAATCTTAACACAAGCAAAATTAAGAGACAACAGAACGAGAACAGTGCTACTTTAGCTATCAGGCACTAACGTTGAATCTCATCATCTACTCTCGCGAGATCTTTGTGCAATCAAAATCAACCAACAGACACACAATCCATAATTATCATTTTCAAGCACAATCAACGCCAAATTGATTTTATTTACATATATATATTCAACTTTGCACCACCCTTTGACTGCAGCCTGTAACACTATATGTCTGTTTAAATGTAAATATACACTAATCTTAATATGAAAGACCATTGGTTGAAATATTTTACAATATTTATACAAAACTTAGTATAACCTACATACATATAAAATAGAACATACTTGCTTCAATATTAATACACGCAATGTGAAGACAGTGGCACTTTAAGCAATAATTGACACATTGATGTTGTTTTTGCGAACTAATATTTGTCATGGTAACATAATTTGCTTGTGTCTTGTGTGTTTTGTTCGACACCCACCCATCTAATTAGCTACAGAAAAGAACGAAACAGTTTAAAAAAATAAACCTAACAATTTTTACAAATAACAAGTATTACAAATATGCATTTCTGACATGTGCATTTATAATATATTTAAGAGTTTTCTTCGGCTAGTCCAGTCCAATCTCCTTTTTTCTCTCCATCCTCTTCATTTTCTTTTTTATTTCCATCTTTGTTTTCATCTGCCAATTCAGTCCATTCTCCCTTTTCCTTCTCGTCTTCCTCACCGCCCTCTTCCTCTCCTTCGTCTTCAACTTCTTCAAGGTCAAGCTGCTCTAACTGTTCTTTGGTGCTGCTGAAGTCTACTTTGTAATTGATTTTTTCATCTATTTCTGGATTCAGTTCTGGGTAGGATTCCTTAGCATCGTCAATACTGAAATGTGTAGATTGTGGAGCACTTCAATTACGTGACTAAAACACATTACTATAGTTGTATGGGAGTGAAAATATTAGTTGTTGTTGGTGGTGGGGTGTTGTTGTTGTTGTTGTTGTTCATTTTAATCCAGCATGATTACTCAATCTAATATGTAGAGCAATTGAATTATGCATGTTGTCACAGAGGGACAATGCACATTGTAAGAGAATCCACGAATTTCATCGTCGCGCGAAAAATATCTCGGGGGGGGGGGAATAGAAACACCTGTCTTCGGAATCATCAACAATATAAACTTACCTCCCATTAATTGAATCTGCTTTCTGTGGGAAAAGAAATAAAACACGTCAATGATTGCGAATTATGGTCGACAACAAAATTTGCACTCAAACAATACATGAACATGTTTGCGCTTCTAACTTTCAGTGAGAGAAGACATTTCATGAAATATTTTTTATGGTTTATTTCTGAACTGTCCGTCAACAAGTCTTACTCACCGTTATTAATGTGTCCTGGGGCATTCGTTCCAGAGCTCTGTTGGTTCGGATGACAACAGCGAGTCCTTTGCTTCTAGCTTGTTGACAGCTTCGCATTTGTGTCTGCAAAGTTCGTAATTTTCGCGCCTGCGCATCGTCCACTTTCCCCAACATGACTCTTCGTCTTCTCTCTATAATTAAGATGAGGGCGTCGCACTCCTGGTTGATATCGTTACGCACATATGATGCATTGACCTGCAAGGGCCAGAAAAACGCAAATATTAAAACCATATCTAAGTGATCTCAAAACTTTGACAATACATGCTAGCCAAACTAAATGAGTGTGATAAACAGTACTTTACACAGCAGTCAGAAATATTTTTGTTCAAGTCGTGTTCTTGCCTGGGATTGGAAGGGGTATCTCGAAAAATAGTGCCCAGCTAATTGATTTGTCGGGTGTGAACGATTTTTTTGAACACTAATTGTAAATCATGTTTAAGATATTGAAACGCAAAAAACAATAATTCTCTTTTACCTTAGTCTTTTCTCCAATAACGTTCAATCTCTTCATAAAGTCTTCAAGTTTTCTGTTCTCACGTTCCAAATCTTCCAAATTCTTTATTATTTCGCTCTGAGTTTAAGAAGACGGGTAAAACAATAATTAATACGTAAAAAAATAAACTACATATAAATATAAAAGTCTGAATATGCATAGTCTGCTAGCAGCACGACTGCGATATTACTGTGTTACTAAAGTATATTGGTACAGTTTTATTGTTTTTTCTGACAACTCGGTATCGGATTTTTCATTTTGTCAATACTTATGCTACTACTCTTGTTTATTCCAATAAATACACCCATCGCGACAATTCGGTCTAATAATCGCTGTTATCAGAACGTTGGCCAAAGCCAACACCGCAACCTTTAACTTTATTCAACTCAATCTCAGCAAAAGCATTACGATAGTGAGACACTCTAGGATACTGACATAAACCCCGCCCTCTAAAGTAGCTCTAGCCAATCACATGGTAAGGCATCATCATATTCGAACATTGATCACAAAATCACAAAATCTTCCGTCAACATTATTAATAATACATGGTGTAACCTCTGAGATTAGTTTGTATCTACCAACCGCTGCGCGAACCCGGGAGGTCACTTTCCGAAAGTTGTATGTCAAGATTACAGTTGTACAAATAGTTACACGTGGTTAAAGCACGGTGGTCGTCGCGCAGCGCGTGTCCGAATTTCATGTAAATAAACAATGTATTTTACATGCGTTGTATACGTCGCTATGAGTCCCATATCGAACAGGACGCGGCGTGACGACTGTCGCCCTTTAAGTGTACAAAGTACACGCACTGCGTGCAAACCAAATAGCTAATTATATAGTACGGAGTGACAGAATAGTGAAATCGAGGTAGTCTCAGACCACTAGCTTGAATAGGTGATCATAGAATGTACGTATACGCGCACAATAATCGCGATAACGCCCCATGCTAATTTACCCTCACATGCTCATACCAAGACTTGCTTGCAGTTTGTTGCGATGGATTGAAGCTCGTAAATCAGACAGCGACGGCTTGCTGTACTCAGTCCATCTTGCTTGCGAGATGTGGCGTGAAACTCCCGCAGCAAGTCGGCGAGCTCAACGACTGTCTGCCGTGGAGTATTTTTTCCATTTCTTGCATTTTCGAGCACATTTAACTGGGATTAGTCGAGCTACGTTTATTTACGCGTTGGACGTCGGTATCGGGTTTTTCTCGCGAAGTTGGGATTGGCCAGACGACGTTATGGCGGGAATGACATTTTTCATGTGAACTAAGAACAAACTATTATTTTTCATATAGCTCAGAGTTACATTTTCAGTTTTAATTTTAATCGTTTTCACTCCATAATTTTCCTTATTATTAAATGCCCGTCTCTTTATTTGTTTCCCGAATTCAACATTTTATTTCCATGCATTCTATTTGATGCTCAATAATGCAATACTATATCGCGAATAATCTGTGGAAATGACATTGACAATGCTATAATATAATTAGATATAACAATGACACATAGAATAATGTCCATGACGTCACAACTTGAAAAGATGTTGGTTATCTGAGAATATTCCAAAATAAAATGTTATAAGTGTACGCTGAGAATAGCGCCCCCTCACGGCCAGCCAGTGCAACATAACAAGATACGTCAATCCATGGAACTAGTATTAGCTGAGCAGTCCAACAGCTATACCATATTTATTTGTACGTCTTATGTGCACTCTGGTTTGGTATCGTTAATATCTATGTGTCTCATGTTCACATTAATACTGAATTTTATTAAAACTGTAATACTATACTAAACCAATAGTGTAATATTCCTAGATATTAATACACCAATCACTATGGTAACGGGATATTCATACTGTGAAACAACGTAGTTCTTGGTGGGCATAAAACAAATATTTAAATCACGAATTAGTTCAATGCAGATTTTGATGAACAATGTCGATACTGTGCGCCCACTGTTGTGACTAACGTTTACTGGCATACAGTCAGTTACTGACAGATGTGCCTCTGTTTACACGGGAAATGAGGTCACGATGCCGTCTCCATAGTGACACGCAATGTACATAGAAGGTTGACCCAGTGAGGTCGTCGACGTCATAACATATATTTACTGCGATGCGCCACGTCATTTGAGTCTTACATGACATGACAAAACACAAACGGACTAATGGATAACAACTACATTAATACGTGGAGAATTCGTGTAATATATTATACACAGAATATACGTATGTTTTAAAAATTATAAATTTATAAGCAAAATACCCTGAAAAAAATATCGGAACATATTCAGATATATCTAAAACAAATCCAGTGTTCGATATTTTCAAGTAGCTTAGCTGTCGGGGCAATATCAACAACGATTACACTCAAACAGGTCTTCCGTGATCTTGATTCGCAACAACTCAAAGCGTGGCTAAGATAATTAAATAAATTATAGAATTAATACCATTAGTTAATTAACTCTAAATTAAAACAGTCCTTGTTATTCTTTATACATTTAATTAAATGTATTTAAACGTATATGTATGTACATGAAAAAAAAAATGGCGTGTGTTGAAGACGATAGAAGGCGATTCACGGTCTGGTTCAGACAATGGTACTCCATTAGTCTCACGGCCGTCGGCTCCGTCGTAGCATATTGAATTGAATCGAGGTGTTTGTATACGTCATTACGTGAATCATAGTAAATTGCAGAGACTACCGCCATTTTCTGTCATGGTGGTTCCAAGTGTGTACTACTTAAAGTTATTTAGGCTAACAGCTAGTGACAACTACTGGTAATATATGAGACAAATTACACCACACCAACTAGGTCAGTGTGTTTTACTTGATTATCACGACAATTAATTATAAATTAAGTCAGAAATGCTGACAGGGGGATTAGCGGTACTCCCTGAACAAACACGCATAGATACCGACGGACGGTGATCAATGTGCCACCCAGATAAGTGGGACAATCACTTTATCGCGGCTGGCGCACTCTAAATGTACAAATCAGATTTTGATTTGTGTTGACCTCAAGTGAACCCTTAAATTATTTATAGCTCAAACCCTACTCGTTCTGTTGTTCATCGCTTCGTCTGCTCGTAAAAGCCCCACGCACTTGCAGCGCGACAACTAATCGAAGGCGTCAATAATTCGATCCCCCAGGTGAGATGGTATAAGCTGATCCGGTGAAACTAACACCGGCGTATTTCTAGGGGTCCGTGACACGGTGTACGCCAGCGCATACGTAATTTTAAAGGCGTGGGCATATTTTTATCTCTATTGTTACCATGCGTCCACTGGACTTACGGCAAGCGGACACGGGTAAATAGGTTCGTGTCCATTCAATGTGTCTATTGTAATAATCTTGGCTGTATTTCAATACACAGAGTGTACAATAGATAGAAAGACATCTCAAGGCGAAATGTAAAAAAAAAACACCATAGCTGTCAGCGTTATATAAATCTGTTATATTGGTATTTTATTTTCGTTTTAGTTTTGGTACTGATTGTTGGTACTCTCAGCGACTCTGGGCCACCCAAAACCACAACGATCGGTCACTCTTACCTTCTTTTCGTGGTACTGCCTACGTTTCTCGGCCAACTCTTCTTGTGGGTTTTTCTTTTTATCGCCTTTCTTGTTCAAAGCTTGATGTTCGACGCCCTTGTTGCACTCAGGGCAGTGGAATTCCTGGGCACCGGCATCGTCTCCCTTCTTCTTGATGTCGTCTTCGCATTTGTTGCACAGGTCATGTTTACAGGTTAACTCTAATTTCTTCTTCTGCGAGTCTCCGCAATGCACGCACGTAAATGACATGTTGGAGTTTTAGCTAACCGGGTAACCACGAAAAACAAGCCTTGAGAAAAAAGGTTTGAACTTCCTAGAATTTCCACACGAATTATTTAAAATTATACTCTATATCGTGAACTACGGTTAAATTACACGTTGTGGCATTGGATTGCTGTTAGTCAGTATATGTTTCGGAAATCCACCTGGTTACTATGTCACCACCCGGGGGAAACACCTATAGTTACTGCGCGATTAAAAACACAGGTAAGTGTAATTGATTTGAATTCATTATTTTGTTTTTTTACCGGGCATAACCCGATGAGTTTTACTTGGAATTGTAGTTATTAATGCTTATCTAACATTTTTCAATATAATATGAAGTTATTTTTTTCTTATAATGCCCCCAGAAAAATATAAATAGAGTTGTGCCCCCGGAGCACGCCCTAAGCACAAGAAAAAAGCAGCGCGAAGCGCGCGGGGCTGCACACGATCTCTTCTAGCTCAGACCGGGTATTAAATCTTCGCTGTAATAATCCCCATTTATTCAGAAATAAGACTAAAACAAATTAAATTCTTCACAACACATGGATTATGTAATATATCCGATTGCTGCTCCGTAACTCGACACCGCCTGCATGATCCCACGAAATGCTGTGACATCTCATATGATATTTTTCTGAGCGCTCGCTACGATCAGGACCTTTATTATTAAATTGAACAATAAATCAATATAACTGTTAACATCATGTCTGTTACGCTTTTAATAAAATTGCTCAATTTGAATTATTAGAAAATTTAAATATTTCTTCAATTACGCCTTTAGTAAAAAAAGTCGATTCTTACGAGCAGGCTAAGGGGGCCGACTTACAACAACTCGTCTCCAAGCAACGACTGTATATAAAGATACGAATGAGGGAGGCGTGATGCCGCCATTGCGAATATCAGGCCCTCAAAGACGGTTCCCCATGACTGGACTCTGCTAAATTGCAGTACATTAGCGTGAAGATATGTTTATTATACGCATATAAACTCCTGGCGTCGAAGTACAATGGTCGGCGACCAGTCTCGATTGTCTTGGCGTTTATATTCAAATTTGAATGTCAGATATTCACGTGCGCTTTCTTATAATGTATTTTTGGGAGGTGCTCTCAAAGCACCTACGCCACCAAGACTAATTTTACACTTTTTTCCAATTGTAAAGCAGTATTGAAAAAAGAAACCAATCTAAAAAAAAAAATCAAAACGTTGAATAGCAGAGCTTGTTGAGTCTACGATTGAAAATTTACTCAGTCTGCATGCAGCTCTTCTTTGCCAAGGTTAACAATTTTGATTTATATTATAATATTCTGACGTCACTGCCGCTACGATTGACCCGGGGAACTGCACGTGTACAATACACCAACCAGTCTCATACTGCATTGTAACGCAAATTCAACTATGCTAGCCTCTGCATGTGGTCTGATACCGCTATGGGCGAACACAACATACAACGTATGGTACCTGAAGACAGAATACAAGGCTCCACTCAGCCATGTGTGTAAAGAATTATGTTTAGAAATAGTTTAAATATAGTTTCCAAAGTGGCTATAACTCAATGTATAAGGAAAACTCGTATTGATTTGAATAAATATTTGATTTTTTAGAAGCGTGGACTGAAACTGAGACGGGAAGCCGTGCTTTGCGGATATGCGGTCCGCGCCCTGATACTGATGCATATACGCTCATCTAATTACTTAAATATGCCCCAAGTCAGTTTTATGTTATTAACTGATTCCGGAGGAAACTAATGTCTGAAATTGAAATGATAATATGAAGTACAATATGGAGACAATTCAGGCTGGTGATCAGACAGGGTGCGCATAAAATCACCAGATTAACAATTACGCAACGGAGCATGCCTAAGATGTTCCGCTGCATCTTATCCGGTTACTATGGTAACACAGACGTGGATGGAGAACATTTAATAGGTATTTCGTTTGTTCGAGAACTATGTAATTTATAATTCCAGAAATATGAATTGCTTCAACTTCACCGTGCCACAGACCGGTGCCATTATGTGGTTAAAGGTTTTATTCCTATGCCATGTCATATACTATTTGACAGACCCAGTCCTGACCCCCGTACACATGTCATGTAACATCCCTTTTCGCGGACCCAATCATTCCAATTAACAACTAATGAAATGTCTAATTTCACGGACTCAGTCATGCTCGCAATGTCCAGGTCATGTAATATCCCATTCTACGGACCCAGGCTCTAATATTAAAGGGCGGTAACCATCGCTTCCGAGTCCTCTTCGATATTGTTTACTTTAAATTCATAAACGTGCTGCGCGACGACCACCACTCTTTAAATTCAAGTCCAGTACGATACTTCTCCGTAATTCATACTTGTGCTGTGAAATGCGTGCCAATAAGCGTCACTGAGTCGAGCATCGCACGAGTACAGGAAGATTGTATATAATTTGCATACTACTAGTACATCGTGACATCGTATATGATACCATAATTCACTGACCGGTCAGCGCTCCAAACTAAACTACTGTCAACTCACGAATGACATATTACCGATAATGTTCCAAACATCCTGCTTAACATCGCAAAAAGCTCACCAATTCCGGAAATAACTTTATTATTAAAACATATCAGGAAAATTGCCAACGGCTACTATTTGTAGCTTAATCCTTATTACTATACAGATCGTGACACACAGCACTATGAGTTTTTTGTCATCATAATTGGTCTTTCCAGAGCAAGGTAACTCACCAAGAAAACAACATAGTAGGGTACCATGGAAGAACTGAAATCAGGACCAAGTTAAACCCAGACGTACGGCATCAGGCTGACACAACCACAACATGAGCAGAGCTTTCAAATTTCAACGTTAGTGCGCTCCTGACAATTTCAGGAATTTTTTTCATCAATGATCATTTTTATCTGACAAAGATGAGATGGAAAGCTTAGTAGAGATTATCGAGAACTTTATGTTGCATGCATGGAAACATCTACGAGACGAAGAGAAGAACAAAAGAAGAAGAAAAGACCTTTCGATTTTTCCAGGCTCATAGGATAGCAAATCCCAGTCTCTACTGCTGGTGGTTGGATTCGAACCCACACACCTTTCTATTCCATAGCATTGCTTCAGTTCACTCAGAATTACAAAATAAATAAATAAATAAATAAATACAATTTATTTCCTGTGTCAAAGAAAATTCTTGTTCCACAATGTGGAAACGTAGACGTAAACGTAGATGTATCACCACCACATCGAGACAACTGCTGGCGAGAGTCTATATGTTGTCACGTGATTTAAGAAACCAATGATGCCCAAAGATCTGTGCTAATATGTCGCACATTGGAAGAAATAAACTTCAGGAAGTAAGATAACAGTACAACTGTGTAAATTTCTTTTTTTGTTTATTTTCCTTCGGTATTTTAAAAGTATTTTAAACTATTTTTGTTTAATACTGAATCTTGATAAAAAAACATCAGATTTATCGTAAATCAAAAATGTTTTATCTGGAAAACCAGCAATATTCGTTCAATGAAAAACTGAATACACGAGTTTTTTTATTAGATTAGATTGAAGTGAATCCGACACGCATGCGCATTTGAGTTGTGCAGTATTTCATTTCAACTTTGCACATGGCATTGTGTGGTACAACATGATAATATACTGCAGAGAGGGAAATATTTACTAGGTTTTAAATTCACTGGTTTGTGAAGAAAATAATATATTCTATTGTTAATTTTTCATATCAACCGGGTTTTAATTTTAAATTATCGCATTTAGTTACCAGTGAAATAAGCGAAAATGAAACCCGGCGAATAATTAAGCCGTATATATGAACATCGTTTTGAAGTGGAAAAAAAGCTAATAGACACTTTCAGTAATACGCTTTAGTTGGAGGTATTTCTATTTCGTGCAATGACCGATTTGGTGAAAACTTGGCACAAAGTCAAGGCAATATTGGTCCTATTTGTATATTATTTCTTTTTTGTTAATGTCGTAGGCGCTCTGAGATGAATTCACAAGCAGCTTAATAGGCACTGACAAACATGTGAATCAATCAGTGGACTAGTAGATCGGCTCGTTGATTGTACCGGCACAGGATGAAACAGACGGGTGCACGTTGCACAAATGCAACTCTTAAGACTCTAGGAAAGTGAACTGGTCTAGTGACTCGGATGGTGAACTATAATGCTGAATTCCTATTATCATGGAATGGAACAAAAAACGTCTATGACATTCTTGTGCGACAATAAACTTGATTTATGACTTATAATGACTGAAATAATGAATGAATGAATGAATGAATGAACAGAGAAGGCAGGGTGTGTCGGGTATCTGTGCCATCGCCTATTGTGGCTGGCTCAGAATACTCAGTTCATTGTCGCTTTAACATAATAACTCACTGCAGACAAATGCATCAGGCCTTCTCCTTGAAGAAGATTTCTTCGCAAAAATAAAGTTTTTGTCAACATAACAAAGCACACTCTTGAAATATCTGTGAAATACGCGCCAGATCATAGCATTTAGTTAAACCGTGGTCAATAACAAGTACCTGCCAACCGAATTTGTATTGTCATCATCATTATGGGAGTACCTCCCGCACGTTTTGCTTTGCGTGACAGAGGAAGTGAAAAAACAAAATGACTACCAGCAGGCCATTTTGAATCGAACACTCACCTGCAATCAAATTTGTATTTTCACCGCACCAAACTAATTGAAATCGACCCATTTACGAACATATACTGCATTGGGATTGATTTAGCTTTATTTTATGTTCAAAATGGCGATGTGTTATCCAATCAAAAATTTAATTGACGTGCATGTGTACAGGATTTGTATTGTCTTTGTATCTGTCATACATGTCCAAAAATTGGCTCTGGACGGTACATAAAATGTACATGGACCAAAAAGTCATATTCTGATAGGAAACTATCAACCTACCGTACTAAGGAAGACAGTAACTTAAAGGGCGGCGGTCGTTGCGCCGCGTCCAGTTCGATATGGGACTCATAGCGACGTATACAACGTGTGTAAAATATAATGTTTGCGCTGCGTGACGACTGCTGCCCTTTTAAAATGCTGGCTCCAACTTCGGAAAACCACTCTTATAATAATATAAGGTAATGGTTGCCAAGAGGTAATGTTCATTCAAACAATCCCACAATGAGTTGGTCGAATG